CTCACCATTTACAACGCTCTCTCTCTCCTCTCCCTCTTCCTCTCTCTGTCTCTCTGTCTCTCTGTCTCTCTGTCTCTCTCTCTCTCTCTCTCGCCTTCTGTTTGTATCCATCTCTGTCTCGTGCTATCCTCTTTTCCCGACCGCTGCGTGCCTTTCCGGACCGTAATGTCTTAGGTGCTTGCTTTTCCGGACCGCTGCACGTCTTTCCGGACCGCGATATCTACAATTAGAATACTTTTTGGGTGCTTGCTTTTCCGGACCGCTGCAGGTCTTTCCGGACCACAATGGCTACAATTAGAGTACGTTTTGGGTGCTTGCTTTTCCGGACCGCTGCATGTCTTTCCGGACCGTAATGTCTACAATAAGAGTACGTTTTGGGTGCATGCTTTTCCGGACCGCTGCAAGTCTTTCCGGACCACAATGGCTACAATTAGAGTATGTTTTGGGTGCTTGCTTTTCTGGACCGCTGCATGTCTTTCCGGACCGCAATATCTACATTAGAGTACGTTTTGGGTGCTTGCTGTTCCGGACCGCTGCATGTCTTTCCGGACCGAAAAATCTACAATTAGAGTACTTTTTGGGTGCTTGGGTGCTTGCTTTTCCGGACCGCTGCAGGTCTTTCCGGACCACAATGGCTACAATTAGAATACTTTTTGGGTGCTTGCTTTTCCGGACCGCTGCAGGTCTTTCCCGACCACAATGGCTACAATTAGATTTCGTTTTGGGTGCTTGCTTTTCCGGACCGCTGGACCGCGATATCTACAATTAGAGTACTTTTTTGGTGCTTGCTTTTCCGGACCGCTGCAGGTCTTTCCGGACCACAATGGCTACAATTAGAGTACGTTTTGGGTGCTTGCTTTTCCTGACCGCTGCATGTCTTTCGGACCGTAATGTCTACAATTAGAGTACGTTTTGGATGCTTGCTTTTCCGGACCGCTGCATGTCTTTCCGGACCACAATGGCTACAATTAGAGTACGTTTTGGGTGCTTGCTTTTCGGGACCGCTGCATGTCTTTCCGGACCGCACTGCTTAAAATTAGAGTACGTTTTGGGTGCTTGCTGTTCCGGACCGCTGCATGTCTTTCCGGACTGTAATGTCTACAATTAGATTACGTTTTGGGTGCTTGCTTTTCCGGACGGCTGCATGTCTTTCCGGGCCGCAATGGCTACAATTAGAGTACGTTTTGCGTGCTTGCTTTTCCGGACCGCTGCTCATCTTTCCGGACCGCAATGTCTACAATTAGAGTGCGTTTTGAGTGCTCGCTTTTCCGGACCGCTGCATGCCTTTCCGGACCGCAATCGCTACGATTAGATTACGTTTTGGGTGCTTGCTTTTCCGGACCGTTGCACCTCTTTCCGGACCGCATGTGTTTCAAGTACAATCTGTTTTGAGTCCCTTCTTTTGGATGTCTTAAGAACTAGGTAGCCCCATAACCGGCCCCAAAAGAGGTCTGAAACCAGTTCGACACATCTTCCTGCTCACCGTCTCAAGACTTTTTCTTTCTCTCTGTCTCTTTCTCCCTTCTCTTCTTTCTTTTCCCGTTGTTTCCTGTTTTTTCTCCAAAGCTGAGGTAGCCTACGGACAAAAAGAGGTCTGAAACCACTCTGAAACACCCCGCTGCTCACCATTTACAACGCTCTCTCTCTTCTCTCCCTCTTCCTCTCTCTGTCTCTCTCTCTCTCTCTCTCTCGCCTTCTGTTTGTCTCCATCTTCCATCTTCCTCTCTCTCTCTCTCTCTATCTCTCTCTCTCTCTCTCTCTCTTTCCCTCTTCCTCTCTCTGTCTCTCTCTCTCTCTCTCTCTCTTTCTCTACCTTTTCTCTTTCTTTTTTCATCTCCCAAAGCTGGGGGTACCCAAAAAACAAGCCCAAAAGAGGTCTGAAACCACTCTGAAACACCTTCCTGCTCACCATCTCCGGACTGCTGCTGCATGGCGTTGGCTGCTTTATCTCTATCTATCTATCTATCTATCTATCTATTTATCTATCTATCTATATGCTCCTTTTTCTTTGGATGGCCTATTTACCACCCTGGTTATCTATGTTTATCAACTCGAGATATTAATATTTAAGATCTAAATCAGATACGGTAGTAGTAGTAGTAGCAGCAGTAGTAGTAGTAGTTGTTGTTGTTGTTGTTGTAGTTGTAGTCGTAGTAGTAGTAATAGTAGTGGTAATGTAGTTGTAGTTGTTGTTGTTGTTGTAGTAGTAGTAGTAGTGGTAGTAGTGGTAGTAATAGTAATAGTAGTAGTAATAGCAGGAGTAGTAGTAGTAGGAGTAGTAGTAGTAGTACTAGTAGTAGTAGTACTAGTAGTAGTAGTAGTAGTAGTAGTGGTAGTAGTTGTAGTTGTAGTAGTAGTGGTAATGTAGTAGTAGTAGTAGTAGTAGTAGTGGTAGTGGTAGTGGTAGTGGTAGTGGTAGTGGTAGTGGTAGTGGTAGTGGTAGTGGTAGTAGTAGTAGTAGTAGTAGTAATAGTAGTAGTAGTCGTCGTCGTCGTAGTAGTAGTAGTAATCAAAATGCTAATTAAAAATAGTACTTGTAATAATGATAACAATAGTACTTGCGCGTACCTTGGGCCGCCCTTGCGCGAAACTTGCGCGATGCAGGTTTTAGACCATGGGAAAAATGCGAGAATAGGTCCTTTACTAAAAACCTTTCTGGGGTTTTTGGACGGCTCCCATATATATATATATATGTATACACAATTGTGTGATTATATAATCATGATCGCATACATAGAATATGCACTTGTTCAACCCTTCGGGTGTGGACAGAAAAAAACAAATATTAGAATATGTATGAATATTTGGGGTAGAAATATGTGAGGTAAAATTTTGGAGTGCACAAACACAGCCAAAGCAAATACCATAGGAATAACGATGTTTCCATATCGAAAACATGTGTGAAACCCAGCAGATTGGCATTTTTTTCGGAATTGATTTGAATCACAGGCGGCTGCGGCAATCCATGCTTCTGTCAGAAACCTGGGAAATGGTCTTTTTCCCGGATCGAAAATGGATAGTCTTCATATTCTATGTACATTTTTTCGATTTCGGAAGATGCTTTTATTCTATGTATACTTGTTTTTTACCGATTCCGGAAAATGCTTTTTGAATTATCGATTCTATATTCTATGTATCCCATCATGATTATATATGTTCATACATATTTCATTTTATCATAGATAGATGATAATAGATTTATTTGTTTTCTGCTTATACATATATATATATACATTATTATGGACATAATTACATATCTATATGTCTATGTAAGATATTATATATATGTTATTATTAATATAGTAAAATAACAAGATTATATATATAAGTATATATCTATATGATTACATATATGTGGTTATAGACATATATGATAGATATGATTATATGCATAATTATTAATTATATACATAATATATATATACATACATACATACATACATACCGTTGTTATCCTGTGTGTCTATTCCCCGCATTGTTGTGACCCTTTGAGATCAGAGATATCCCCATGAGGACCTCAAGTTATCATCCAAGCTATTGGTCTTGATGTGTCTTGGTATCCCACTTTGAGCACAGAGAACACTTTGCACCATCCTTGGACGCGCGTGGGGCTGGGGGGTTGTTTGTTGCCTCGACTGGATGGGCTACAAATGGACCAAACTGCTCATGATTAGTAGTTAATAATCAATTGACTGGGGACAAATATGAGTGAGCCACTCCCAATGTTACGCCTGTTACGCTACACCACTTCCCTTGCTGGGGCCAGATCCAGCAGCCAGCCAAAGCGTGTCTCTTCTGGCTCCAGTCTCTTTTCCGGCGGAGGCGGGGGGGGCTTTTCAATGGGCCTTGGTCCAAGGTGAAGGAGCCAAAACCGTTTCCAGCAGCTGAAGCGTCAGAGAAAGCTGAGAAGGCGGCTTTTCCAGACCCTGCAGGACTTTCCAGGCTCTCATCTTGTCCTGAAAATGAGCTCAAGACGTGGCAGCAGTGTCAGATGGTTTGACCAACTGAAACTCAAAAACTTAGCACTTCATTTCTTTGCAGAGGAGCAGAGTTCAGACTGGTTTATCAGGTTCTTCCTTCTCAAAATGCCAATTTATTGGGGGTATAGACCATGTCCCTTCTCAAACCCTACTTGGATGTTCGAAATCAACTGCTTTTCAAAGGGCATCTCGATGCCATCCAAGCCCCACTGAGTTGAGCACAACGGGTTCCTCTTGAGGAGGAGATTCCTGATCGAAAAGAACGGAGCGATCCTCGAGGCTTGAAACTCCGGCCGCTATCCTCGTTCTCAATGTCACCGCATGGAAAATCAATGAAAATCATGCTTTAAAAGAAATGAATATATATATATATTATAAAAGAATATATATATATATTATAATATATTATATATAATATTATATATATACATGTACATATATATATATATACGGTATATATATATAGAATTATATATGTATAGAATTGTATAGATACAGGTAAATCATAGATTTTCATGACCATTTTCAATTTTCAATAGGAAACTGTGGAATTACCAGCGAATCCTTTTTTCTCTTGCCATTCAAAGCTTTGGACATCAAAGACTCATCCACACACTTGGTGGAAGCGCCAACTCACGTAGGCTATAGCTTTGTCTGAAAACGGGGGGGCAAAATACTTCATGAACTAGAACCTCATATATGTTCCCAATGATTAAATTTCATGAAATTTGGCCATGTTTGGGGTATCCTCCATTTTGAGACAAACCCATTTTTTGAAATGACTCACTGTCAAAGAATTTTCTGGCGTCTGGCGTGCCGGAAGGCCGGAAGGCCCCTTCGGCCACTGTACGACGCCACTTTGCTTTCGCGGTGAAAAAATGGGCCAAACCACACCATGACATCACCACGGCAAAATACGGAAACAAGTCCATTGGTCAAAACAACTCTGTTTCCCTGACAATAAATATACAACAGTACCACTTTCATCACATACACATCATGACACATCATGAAAATCACCTAAAAAGTGACTGAAACAATCCCGTCCTCGTACACAGACTTGACTCTCAAGCAACTTTTTCTAGGCCTCTCAGCATTCTTCTTTGGCACGCACCGACAGATCCATCGCCAGCTTTTGGTGGCAAGACCAGGTGGATTGGCCCCAGCATCCCTGAGGAGTTTCACCATGGCCGCGTTGTCCAACTCAATAGCTACTTCGATGGGAAGAACCGGGCTCATTTGGATGCAGCAGGACTCGAGGCGCCGGGGGCTGAAAACATCCTCAAAGCCATGACGTTCCAAGAAGGACATCACCAGCTGCTTGTCGCGGTATCTCATGCCTGGTGACTTGGGAGACCTATCAGACCTATCGATAGGTTTGAAGATGAACGAGGCCGGTGGAATCGGGAAAATGAAGAAAAGAAACACCGCAGACCGCAGATCAAAACGGCTCACATTTAAAGTTTCTGGAGCCCTTTGCGGCTACGGAATTGGGGATTGAGCACCCAACTTTGGCGGATTGGACCCCGGGGAACTTGTGGAGCAGTGTGTGTTTTTCCACACGCATTGGCTTTTGCATCATGGCGAATCTGATCGAATCTTAGCCTGCCAAAAGATGGCCATGAACTATAATCTATAACAATAATATGTATATAATAATATATAATATTGTTTTTCTTCTTCAATCTATATAGATCCCGAAGGCCGAATCCGAAACAATTATATATATGTATAATATATATATACATATAATTATACATATATATATACACATACAAATATACACGTATACATATATATATATTATTCCAATCTCTATTTATCCCAAACTATTTCCCCAGCTATAGCAAGAAATGGATCCATATCTTGTGTCGTCCCCAAAAGGGCCTGGCCACCTCTCTTCGGACTCCGACTCCTGGCCATTTTGGGCCCCGAAAATGCTGATGGAATGCCGTATATCCCCAGTTATGATCGTTTCAGCATGGTCAGAACAAAATCAAAGCTTTGGGATGGCATGGCTTTTATTTTCAGACAACCCTCTTTGTAGATAGAAGTAATTGCATGTAATTACATAGTCAGGGAACATATCCAGCAGAAGCTTTACATCCCTCTGTGCTTCTGGTCACCTCAAGACTAAATCATCTTTGACGTATCGCGTCCAATGCATGTCGATGTGTTCCATACCTTACCACAGGTGATGCAGAAATGATAGAAGATCGTACAATCATCCGCACAGCTCTTGTCGTGCAAAGACTAGGCTAGAATAAGTAATCGTCTTGGATGAGAACCATGGTGTTGGTCGATTTAGCTGTAGACATGACTTGATTGGAATGATGTTTATCGTGGTATTTTGTAGGAGACATGGTCAAACATTTCATAAAGTTTCAAGGTCAGAACCAATCAAGCACTTGCTGGTTATCAAAATTGAATGGAAACGGAACATATCCCAGAAATGCAGATGACTTTGACACAAGATCAATACTACAAGTAACAACCGATATGTAGTTCCACTGGGGGCAACCCCACTTAGCTTGTTGGTGTCCCAATTATTGCCCATTTAGAGGCTATTGAAATCAATCATACATGCTGTATACTGGCATACACAATTCATAAACCGCTGAAGTCAAAATACCATAAAATACCGTGGGTTTCCTTGGTTTTGACTCATCCAACCATCATTGTTTTCCCACTTGTTCTTTCTTGTACAGTACAACCAACTCTTCAATAAACCATCATGTATCAATTATGAATCGTAACATTGCCGTTAGAATCCATCTTTGCCCCGATAACAAGAATATGACCTGGCTTAACATGCTTTTTAGGGCGTAATGAAGCCGCGCTTCACCAACTTAGAATATCAGCCACAAAATACAATGCCCCCTATGATCAAGCAGACAATGAAAAGGCGTTCTTGATGGCCCTGGAAAGAGCAAGTGAATCCCTTCCACCTACCCTCTGGTAAACTAACATAGCTATTGAAAATGACCATTTATACAGTAGTGGTATTTCCCATTAAAAATGGTGGATCTTTCCATAGCTATGTGAAAATTTACCAGAGGGTATTTTTCAGATCAACAAGTTACCATAGTTTCTCATGGGAATCATCCCCACCCGGGGCCCATATCCCAACTTATGGCTTAACAACATTTTATTGCCATGAATACCCTCTGGTAAACTAACATAACTATGGAAAATCACCATTTTTAATGGGAAAATCCACTATAAATAGCCATTTTCAATAGCTATGTTAGTCATTACCAGAGGGTAATCCCAACTGCACCCCCAACTTGATATCTAAAATATTCCCCATGTCAAAACACCCTTCCCGCTTGGATCCGGAGATGAAAAAAAATCCCATGAGAAATCCCCAGAACATATTCCCAGTCCATTGGTAGCGAGATCATGATGATTCAGCCAGATTTAATATTATCCACATTTATATCATATATTCTTGGTTGTATATATATATATAATTATATTCCCATAATTATTCCCATAACTATTCCCATATATATATGTAGTCCCATGATATTTCCATATGAAAAACATCACATTGACATACACTAACCATAGATTCCATATAATGATGAACCATAGTTACATGATCCCATATAGTTCACATTATCCATACACTATCACATACACAAACCAGATCCAGCCCACGTTTCGCACCTCTTCTTGGGCTTCTCCTTCTCCGGCTGCTTCTCGCGTTCGGGAGGAGGGCTGGCGGCCGACACCGTCACCGTGACCTTGGGCGCCTCGGATGCGGAGATCTAGTGGAGATCTGGGAAGATATGGAAAAATACGAGGAAAAATGTGGGAAATACATATTTTCAATGGGGAAAATATGCGAAAATGATGACAATTGATGTAATTGATATAGTTCTGGGGCAATTTTCAGTCAAACACCCGACAAAAATCATTGGATGTTGCAATTTCGGCCATTCAATGTTTGGGAAAATCGACTTTAGACTTTTGGACCCTTTAAGACACGAAATAGTTGGAAAACGGCAAGACACGGCTTGCCATGTTCGTTCGGTCGAGTCGTTGGGGTACCTTTGTCGACCAACTTCTTGACGTTCTCGCACCAAACCATCCAACATATGGACCCCTGAAAGCCCAGCACCGAGGGCTAGAGCTCCAGCTCAACCCTCAAAAGGAAACTGGGCCCCATGGATCAAATCCATGGTTTTTCGTGCACTGATTTTTACCTTTGAAAAAATGGTTGGTGAGTTTTTCGATGTTCATCAAAGCAGAAAAGACAACGTCGTACAGTCATACGTGATATGACTCGTGCTTGAATACAGTACATTTTAACTTTTGCTTGGTTGTTTTCCCCATATTGGGTTGCTTTTGCTCCCCAATCTAAAATTATTTATAGTATAGTCCTTGTTTTTCCGGAAATTTTGGGTGGTTGGGTTGGCCAAATATGTCTGTTTCTCCTTTAAAACACATTGTTGATTGGCAAAATCCCCATGGCCCCGTTGCTCACATCATTTCCATTCAATTTCCAGTTTATAATGTGGCAGTCATCTGTCCAAAACATGGAGCCCGTTGGCTACATCAAATCTGTGCAACATAACCAGAATCGACCAGCAAATGGGGAAAATTCCAGTGTTCATTCGCCAAATCCGCATGTTCTTAACAACCACCCTGAACGAGCCGCGGCCCTTAGCTTCCAACGGCGCCAAAGGCGCGACCAAGGTTAAGCGCGGCTTGTTGCAACTCGGCCTGCAACCGTGGGGCCGGGGGGGCAACAAAAACGATGGCCAATTATTTTAGGTTTTGTTGGCAACCCACAAAAAGGATATAATTATTATATTATCACGTATATATTATTGTTTTTATTATTACTATTATTACTATTATTATTAATATTATTATGATTATTAATATTATTATGATTATTGTTATTGTTATTATTTATAGACTAGAGATAATGTGATACATAATGATATGTAGAATATATATATATGATATGGATGGAAGTTGATTTTACAAGACAAACTATTCCAACAAATACAAATACTCCAAATTTATCCAAAATTATGGCAACTTACATGTCTCATAAAATGGTCGTTGCTATATATATATATATTCTGCGGAAATTCTCCTGACTGGATCCTGGCCACTTTGGACAGTTGGTCAGGCCAGGGGTATCCTCACGAAAAAGATGGAACAGTATATAGTGTGGAAAAGTATTTGCCAATGTACCATTATGTACCACTGTTTCAGTAGGGGCCAACACATACATACATTATGTCGATGTAGTTGTTTTTAATATTTTGGGGGGGCTTGCAGATTGCAACTTAACAGCGACCAACCTGGCACAAATGCTGCGACCTGCAGGATTTTCTCGGACCTCTGAAGCTCTCTGGCTTAGTGCCGTGACATCAGAAGTGGACCTCTAGCCCTGATGCCCTCCTAAAGCTGCCAAAAATCGGGTCATGCGGCAGCACTTGTGGTGCCCAGACCATGGAAAAAATCCCTGGTGGACGTTGTTTTTGCGACTCGAGCCCCAAAAAACATGTGTGGATCATCCATTTATTGAATAAGAATTCTGAAAGATGAACAACACTACCCTGCCGCAGGATCTTGAAAAGGTTCTCCGAGTCCCAGTTTCGACTCACGTCCTCCACGAGTCGTTACTGGACTTTGATCTACTTTAAGATCACTTCGATCACTTCTTCACGTGATTCAGAGTAATATCCATGGGCACAGCTTGCAACATGTCCTTCACGGGGCAATGAGCATCCACGGCAGCTTTCAACTGCTGAATGGTCTCAGTGTCAGCAGGCCCTCAATCCTGAGATGAACGATTCATTTTGCCATCAACATGGCCAACATTGGCCAAATGCATCGCATGCAACAAATATCAAAAAGTATTGAATTTTTGAGTGAGACTAATCATGAAACATAGTTCTTCGGATATCGCGAAGGATAAACACTACTCAGTCGCCCAACAAACTGAGGTTTTATATAGCGATGAGGTTTTTAGAGGTTTATCCCAAGGTTCTAAGAGTGTTTACAGTATCCCGTGGGGATTCCGGGTGGTCTCAGAAATTACCCGTAACTGGCTTGACCTCGATTCAATGATCGCCCATGTTGATATGTTGGAAATCATTGCCAATCTGGTAGATAACCTACACCTGTTTCTTAGTTGCTTCGTAAATCCCCATTTAGGAAAAACCATGAGCTGTAGCAAGGTATACCCAACCCAGGTTCAAAGAATTACGTAGATATTCCCAAACATTGATGGCAACACGGCAACACATTGGCAAAATATGAAGGATGATAAAGCAAAGTACCTTAAGCTGTACCCAACTCAGGGACGGCCAAGACGCTTATTGAAGCCCGCCCGGACGCTGTCATCCACTGCGAAGAATCCGCGCAAATCGATGTGACCCGTAAGCTCCACTGACACGCGCGTCAGTGGCACACCCATGGCATTGGCGAAGGCTTTGGTGGTGATCTCTTGACAAGCACCCAAGGAGAATAGCAAAATCTCCACCTCAGCCCATGAAACTCAACCATCAACTTTAAAGATAAGAAAAGGAGAAAAGTAAATTTGGGGAAGTCCCATCGCGTACAACATGTTTACCTCTGGTTGAAGGCATGTCGAAGCATCTTATGGTGCTTCAAAGAGACCCAAAGGTGAAAGGAAATTGACAAATGAAGGGGGAAACAATTGGAGAACATCTGGAGCTACGGTCCCAAATGCATGAACATTCATGAAGAAAACAAATGGGCATCATTTCTATTCCTTTCGTATGCTACAGCCGATAGAAACAATATGGAAAATCCACAGGGAAACCATGCAAAACTACTGGTTTTCCGGATTGTTTCGTTATAGCGCAATAACTACCGGGGGGGGTCATAAATTTTCTCGTTCCAAACATCTCCTGAACTCGTTGCTAGGTTGTTCAGCATCAAACCTGCGATTGAAATCGTTACTTCATATCCAGTGACCAAACATGTAAGATATTCCCCTTTCAGCAGATCGAATGAGAAAACATAAAGCTGTATAATTACTAAAAATAAACTAAACATAACACACGAACAAGTTGCAAGCTGCGTGGTGCACGGCAGAGCGCAGTGCAGCCAAGCAGGTTCGAGGCAGGTCCATTGCTGCAATGCTACAGAGGCCTTGCTAAATCATTCGATGTTCGAATGGGCCTGTGCAAAGTGAAAGAACTAAGTAAATTTGCCCCAGCACGCATTGTGCTACTGGAGAGCAGCATTATGATGCCATTCTGCGGCGGATGTATCTTGAAGGAAGCCAAATTCAGCTTGTTAACAAAAGGGATGTCCAACTCAAAACAACCATCCAAAGCCCTAAACAGATCACGCAAAAATCGGATACGTGCCGCTACAGTCAATGGCCTGTGCAAATGCGCTGAAATTCTAAAGGGATCCTCCCAAAAATTCTGAGCGCCATCTGACGTCAAAACAGGATGGACAAAATTGGTGACTTCGAGCATCGCTGTGAGTTCAAGCCAGCTGATGCTGTGAGAATCTACCGCACTCACTCTCTCATTTTGCAGCCAGTCAACCATGCGCTGAAGAACTGCCAGTGGAAAGACTCTGCTCCAATCGCTCTGTTGCCACTGAGCATGCCACGCCAATGGTAAACCATCAATCCAATCTCCACCAGCTACAATTGGTCGCTGCAGCGCCGGCGGCTGCAAAGATTCCCCATCATCGATACTGCCCTCTATATCATTATGGGGAACATTTTGTTGGGCAAAATCAAGGTGAAAAGCACAAAACAAATCAACCAATCTCTCACTGGCGAAAAAACTTTCTTCCAAGGCCTTCTGACACTCAAGGAAAGCAGCTGGCAGCGATCGCAAAGCCCGGCGAGCTTGTCGATCAGCCCAACCATTCCACTGTGCAGTCCACGCATGAAAGTCAGATTCTTGAAGGGCTGGGTCACGGTGACTAGCCACATGTTGAACTCGAAAAGACCCCGCAGGCATGACCAGAAGCCTTTCAGTGATGTCTCCCCAAAGGTCCTCATTGGTGTCATGCTCAACCGCAGAGCCCGCATCCAAAATAGCAGCAAGGCCAGTGACAACATAGGCACTATCGGTCCAAAGCACTGCTGAAACCCCTTGCTCCCAAGTCCAATTCACCGCAGCGAAAGCTGCAATCAACTCAGCTCGATCCACATTCTGTTGTAGTCCCGGCACTGGGCCAGAAGAAAGCACTGCTCGATGGGTCGCAGAAACCACCGCCCATGTTGCAACGGACAAACTTGGAATGGTTGGAAACGTGCAGCTACCATCACTGAAAAGATCATAGCAATCCGCAGATGTCGCCATCAAATGAGAATGCAAAGCATGATCCAAAAAATGCAGCAGCAAATGTTTACGTCTCACTTCATGAGGGTTCCTACCCGGCAGCAAGTGTTCTGAAAGAGCTCGAGGCACCTGAGACCAAAGTGCAACAACCTCCGCATGCTTGAGCCGCAAAGTCGCATGCAAAGCACAATGCAGGACACGATGATTCCATGTATCAGGTTGGGCACAGTGTGGACACAGTGAACCCTTAACCAAATCAAACTTACCTTGCACTGCACCAGTGAGAAAGGCACCCTCCCGCAGAGAGTTAATGCGGGCTGTCTCCAGAGCTGAAAGACGACTCTCATGTCGGCTAGGAGGCCATTGAATGCCTACCAGGCCAGCAAAGTCTTCTCGATGGCAAATTTCATGGGCAATTCGCTGTCGCCACGCGTCCAGCAACAGGTGTCGCAGCAAACGCTTGGGCATCTCTAGTAGATTGAAGCGGCAGCCATCATGATCCATGATCATCGGAGGCTCACAAATTTTCCACTGTATCAATTCACATTGTTCAAGCAATTTGCTGAGGGGACCCGAAAAAAGTGTACCATCAAAGTGCTCCATAAAGGAAGACCAGTTTTCAAGCAGAGCTGGATGTTTACGCAGAAACCTCTGAAAGTCCATAAACACTCGCAACAGTTGAAAACCTCCTGGATCTGTGGTAACATCATGTGAAAGAAGACCTAGACGGATCGCGGGATTGGCCCCCGCATGTCCAAAACCAAGGGCTCGAACGGCCTTCGTTCGCAAGGTCTGTATCTCTTTCCACGGCAGCAGGCTGATGCCGATGGCATGAAAGGCTTTGCACCACAGTGCTTGTCGCAGTACTTGTTCTTTGAGAAACGGTGCCAAACTGACCCGTCGCAGGGCTTGCCAGAGTTGATCCAAAGCAGCAATTCGTTGCATCTGTGAACCAGCAGAACGCTTGCGACAAAAAGTCATGGCACCGCCAAGGTCGGCAGTCTGAAGGGCAACTGTCTTGCCCAAGCGGCGCAGTGTGGCACGGTCAGCCGGGGAGGTGCTCCAAAAGAAAGTTTTGCTAGGACTCAGTTCCAACATCCACATGGACATATATTCTTCCAACACTCCAAAGCCACGAAGAATATCGCCACACCTTGTCGCAATAAGCTCATAGTTGTCAACAAAGCTGAAGGGGATCGTGGATGGGGCAAAGTACCGTTGGTAGAAATCCCAACACATGTCAATCAACGTCATGCCAACCACCGACAAGCCATCGCCCTCTGGTAGTCCGTGGTTAGAAGGAATGGGGGCACCAACTTGATTGTGCAGGAGAAATCTGCGGTGAAAAGAGCCCAAAAAACGCTGCCATGCTAACATCACCCGGCTGGGTAAGCCCATGTGAATTGCAACCTGGATCAAGGGATCTCTAGGCACTGATTCAAACGCCTTCTTGACGTCACTGATCACCCCAGACAGGCTCTGTTGCTGCTGAAGGCACAATTCAACCACCATCTGAACATAGTGCCAGATGTCACCAGCTTCCCTCTGAGGCAAAAAACCCTTGACTCCGTCAGGCGCAAAGTGTGCCAAATGTTGCAAAATGCTTCTAGAGCGCAGGGCAGTCCAGCTACGATACACTTGACTGAGCACTATGATGGGCCGGAACTCAGAAATATCCCGAGCTCGCTCATGCTTCGGAAGGCAGATCCCAAAGCCTTGAAGAAGCTGTGAAGGCCAAGCAGCACCATCCTCAACCGCATTCAGAAGAGAAACAAGGCCCTCTTTGTAGGACAATGGCATTCGCAGAAGGTCTTGATGATCCCAACCGTCTGGGCCAGTTGCAGAATGGCGGTTGTAGCGTTTGTTGATCTGATCCCATTGGGGAACTGTCAGTGGAGATAAATGCAGAGGAATAGGGGGCACATAGGCTCGAACAAAATTAAGGACTCGAGTCCAATCTGCTGGGCCAGGAAGTTCATCCCGATTCCATCTGCACTCCCAAAAGGCAGTGAGTTGCCTAAGCATGGCTTGCGTATCACCTGTGCAAACTTCAAACTGCAGCTCTTGCTCCGGACACAGCAAAAGGTCCGAGGTCACTTGAAAAAGACATGGTTCCAAACGTACAACTGTAGCAGGGATCCCATCCACAAACCATCGCGCCTTGGACGCTGGGCTCATGTCAACATCAGTGTGCACTGTAGAAGTCTGGGGGTCCACTGCCAAAATGACTCCCTGACCAGTCGTAGTGAATGAGTCAACATGTTTGGACTCACCTGGACCCAAAGCAGCACGGAAGAGAAGCTGAGAACTTTCACGAGCTGCTACCTTCAAGACTGCAGCACGGTGTCGCATATTCCAAGCTTCCAGACTCCGGTAATTGTCTTTGAAGTCTTCATAGATCCCTTCAAGAAGTGCAACTGAAGGCAATAGCTCTGGCAGGCAAGAGCCAAGGCCCGCATGCTGAATGGGGCGAACAGCCCACCAAATGGGAAAGCTGGGAGAGAACCCCCGCGCATTCTTGATAGCACTCCAGGTATGCAAACGATAGCTCACAGCAGCAGGTTCAGAACTAGCTCGGCGCAAGTTATGCAACAAAGACTGAAGACGCCTCAGCTGTGTAAACCATCTTTGAAGAGATCTGCAAATCATGTCAGAAGACGTGATTTCTTCTCCATTCCGAGAAGCTTTCAATTTGGGCATCTGGGCAGCGCGTTGAACTGGCTGAAAAACTTGGGCTCTCCCTCGACATGAAGAAGGAAGGCCAGCAGCTGGATTGGGCTGAAAATATCCTTGAAAGCTGGCTTCATAAGAGTGACCCAACTTGCCCAAGTACTCAGTGGTGCTACCCATGTGCGGATCATACAGTCCAAAGGAGGGCTCACTATCTTGCCAACCATCAACATCAATGGCATGCCAAGGAATCTTGGCGGCTTTGGGCCGCCAAGTGACCACTTGTTCCTCCATGGGAAAGTCAAAGGTTGTCGTCAGAACACTGTGATCAGCAAACTTGACCTGCACAGCGCAACTACGAAAGTGTGGCACCATTTCCGGTGAGATGTAGATGCGATCAGGGCGGGTGCTGCCCTTGCAGGTAGCCGAAACTGGATCACCATGATGTTCCCATTGCAGCTGCTGCACTTCACGCCATCCAGCCGCAAGCCATTGTTGGATTTCTGGGTAGTCAGCTTCAGTGCCATTGAAGTCTCCA